GAGCGAAAATTTCGATGTGGCGATAACACCAATGGATTGGGCAAAAAAAATACTGTATGAGAATCGAAAAAAACTGTTCATCTGATTTTAACTACCTGAGAGTATATAAATAGAGCTAACTATTTTATTTAAACGCTAACTGTTTTCTTAACTGCACTAAGTGGTTTCTTTTCCAGCCAAAATAAATTTAAACTTTTTTTTCGATTTTTGCCTGTTTCGGATCGTCTGCATGGGAAGTTTGTATGAAAACCTCGGAGCGCCGGTGTTTTACCCGTATTTACACATCAACAAAGCAGTTTGCTTCACCGTAGAAAAGTAGTGCGCAGTAAGAAAACAAGAACGTACAGGTTTTGGCAACGTGGCTTCGCTAGTGATTATGAATGAACGTAATTTCTCGTTACATTTCTTATTACGTTCATTCATATTCGCTATAATGCATGATAATAATAAGGTTAAATACAAAAACGTCTAAAAATAAAACAAAATCGTCTAAAAAATGACAATTTCGTCTAAAGGAAATCGTCCCTTTCTTAACAAATTCGTCTAAAATATTTTTTTTAAATGACAAAACATTTTTATTTTTTATTCCTTTTATTTTCGTTCGTTGTAACATTTTCTTTCGTTCAGGCTTCAGTTTTTAGCTTCCTTAAATTCGTCTACGCCCTGTCGTCAGACAGGACATTTTGGCTTTGTAAGTTCGTCATCCATAATAGATTCCAATGGAATGGCATTAATTTGTTGAATTTTCCACATAATCCAGCAAGGACCGCATGTATGCTGGTGCAAGCATGGAAATAAAATAGTGTTTTTCTTGCGTTCGCAGCATATTATACAGTTGAAGCAGTCTGGATCAATGGATATGTTTTCTTGTTTCATCAGCTCTTGAAAACGTCTTCGGAAATTCAGCATCGTGGATCCATTGCGAATAATACGGTCCATAATTTCATAACCGTCCGAATCGTTATCCAAATCCACGTCTGCATCTGAATCATCGTCCGATTGGTGATGAGCTCGAAGTCGCTTTGTTTGTTTCGTTGTAGACCGCGTTATTCGTTTTGTGCTCGAAGTCGTTCGTTTTGTGCTCACAGTCGATCGTTTCTCACTAATTATACGATTTTTTTGGCTTTGTGGCCAAAAAATGCCAAAAATGGCCAAAAATATTTTTTGTCCGATTTGGATGAAATTTGGTACACAGAAAGCTTATGAAAATATAAGAATTATGACATAAAAAAATGGTCGAAAAACCGGTATAAACTGGTATAAAAAAATTAAATTTCAGTTTTATACCAGTTTATACCAGTTTTTTCGACCAGTTTTTATGCCATTATTCTTATATTTTCATAAGCTTTCTGTGTACCAAATTTCATCCAAAGCGGACAAAAAATATTTTTGGCCATTTTTGGCATTTTTTGGACAAAAAGCCAAAAAAATCGTATAATTAGTGAGAAAATCGATCGTAAAAAATAAAATATCGTTCGTACATTTATTTACAAAAAACGTTGATAAAAAAACTCTACCTTGATACCATATTTTATGTGTATTATCAAGACTTGCTGGAACGTACCACGCGGCGTAATTCTGAAAGTGGCGTCCATCAAAAAGAATCTTTCATTGGTCTCGAGATTTGTTTTCATTAGGGCAATCGAGTGGGGCGATGAAAACACACAATTTGAATAGTTAGTTTCGATTTGAATTCCATTATAAATCGGTCCGCTTTCAAGGTACAACGATTTACCCAGAACATTGCGGATTTCTGGCTTTTCGAATTCCTTTTCGATTTCTTCGGGCGTGGTGGGTGATTTTCCAAACTTGGTTTTTCGCAAATCCCGTAACGTGCGCTCGTATTTTTCAAAATTCTTTGGAAATGGGCCAACACACTTAACGTCTTGAGTCCATCTGTCCAAAAAAACAAACGATATTGTATAATTTAAGGTCGTACGATATTTCCAGTGGAAATCTTTCACTTACAGTAGGACTGCTTCATTATATATGTCACGTATAACAGCTGAAGCTGGGGCCGTTCGGCATCGATCCTTCATATATACAAATAAAATTCTTTCTTTGTAAGAGTTGTATAATGACCCGTGCGAATGACTGAATGCGTTCGTTTCTTTTATTGCCGTACCGTCTTCCATAATCCGAATTCGCGCTTTGCAATCCTTCACGAAACATGTACATGCAATTGCATTATCTTTCTTGCTGATTGCATTAGCATAGTGAAGGCTTTCTTCGCTCGGTACCCAAACCAAACGGGAACCCGTTCTCAAACCTTCAATCCATGAAAATTGTAATGTTTTATGTAATGGTCCCATATGAAAATTTCAAAAATAGATGATTTGCGGAAAAAATTGAGAAAAAAAAAGATGATACAGTCGACTTTCGTTAATTCGAACACGTCGGGGATTGGCATTGTTCAAAATATCGAAAGTTCGAATTATCGCGAGTAGTTCAAATTTCTTTATTTTTCATTTCTAAAACGTAAAATTCACGCAAATAAACAAATCCCTGGAATCTCATTATTTAATTGCCACATAAAATTGTCATTTTCAAAGCAAGAGACCTACACAAGCAATAAAAGAGGGTTACTCTCGATTTTTTTCATAATGTATTCATAATTTTATTTCAGAATCATTTCATATCAATAACAATACAAATTGCAATAATTGAAGCAAATTTATATTTCATGAATTAAGTGTTTGATGTGTTTGCAAAATAATCGCGCATGAGGGTTTGTTTTTTTGGCATTTGTTTTGCTGCGTCAACAACTTCGGTACGCAAATCCAACAGTTCCGTTACGTATTTGTTCGACTGGTTTTCGTTGCACCACTTCAACAACTGATTAACACAGTCTAATGCAGCGCTGTGTGTTACTTTTGGCTCGGAAACAGCAACGCAATCGCTTTCTTCATCATCATCGTCGTCGTCAATGTCTTGTTCGCCTGAAGTTACAGTATGATCGACCTCACTCTCATTCATTATGTCGTTGTTCCACTGTTCAATTTCGGCATCGGTGATGCTGACATTTGCATTGAGCTGTTTCAAACGTGCTTGTGTTTCTTGAATTAGCGATGAATATGCCACCAGCTCAGAGAGCGGCAACGAATCTTCTGGTTCGAATTCGTCGTCATCGTATCGCAATACGTTATTCCACGACGTCACCAGAACAGAATTTGAAATTTCATCCCAAGCCTTTTTCAGGAAAACAATCGCGTCTTTGATGGTGTGTTTTTTCAATAAATCAACAATGGTTCCATCGAATGTCTCCAATTCACTGATAATTTTGCACAGCAACAAGTTGCGATACTTCAATTTTGTGATTTTGATTGGACCCTGGTCCATCGGTTGCAAAATTGCAGTCACATTTGGCGGCAAAAAGTAACAAATGATTTGTTGATCGTCACTTTGAAGCGGCTCAATTGATGATCCATGGGCTGTGCAGTTGTCCACAAGCAAAATAGCTTGTTTCGGCAAATTGTTCTCGTTGCAAAATATGCGTACCTAAAAAATGTTTTCAATGTGCATCACACTTATTGCATTTACTATTGCACAATGCATTTGAGTGTAAACTGAGCCGAATAAAAACGAAAGGTACTGACCTGCTTCACAAAACATGTGTTGAACCAATGTGTGAAAATGGGCAGTGTCATCCATGCACTTTTCGAGTTGTCGTAATCGAGTGGATTCTTGAAGCCTTTGAAGCATCGAGGTTTGCGCGCCTTTCCGATCACCAATGGCTTTACTTTATGCGTTCCCGTGGCATTTGAACATAACAAAATTGAAACTCGTTCTTTCGCCTTTTTGTGTCCCGCTGCTACTTTTTCATCCTCAGACACATAGGTGTATTCCGGTAACAATCGATAGTACAAGCCGGTTTCGTCAGCGTTGTACACTTGCTCCTTTGTCAACTGCATTTCATCAATTTTGGCGTTCAATCGATTGAGAAAAGGTCGGACAGCTTCGTGATCGCAATCGAGTTTCTCACCGCAAATTTTCAGGAATCGAATGCCGACACGTTTCTTGAATTTGTGAAACCAACCATCACTTGCTTGGAACGATTCGGCATCTCGATCTGGATACAACTTCGGGAACAAATCTTTTGCCTTTGCTTTTAATAGCACTCCATTGACCGGACAATTCCGCTCTCGTTGATCGCGAAACCATGCGTATAATTTCTCTTCCAATTCAGGGAAGTCGGGTTTACGCAATCGCTTCAGGTCTGCATCTTTATTCGTGTTTGTGACCGATGATAGAATCTCACTTTTCTTCGATTTGATGTACGAAATCGTGGACTTGGTCACGCCGTATTCCGTTGCTAATTTTGTGCCATTCACACCTTTATCTAACTTCGACAGTATATCCACTTTTTGCTTCAAATTCAATGATGTTTTGGCTTTTTTCGGTGGTTGAGCCATTTTGAGACGTTTTACGTGCAGAATCCAATGACACACTGACATCGATTTGGTGCATCGATCCAAATCGCTGATTGCAAAACGCACATTTCTTCAGATTTTGTATTCAAATACAGAAAACAATGCATACTAATGTGATTCTCTGACAATGTGTGAACGCACAAATCTGGAAATCAATAGAACTAATTCATACGACACCTTACATCGACTTCCAAATGTGTGCAGTGGAATCCGTTGGAAGCATTCACATAGCGACGAATGAACAACATTTTTGACACGACATTAAAATTATTTGTTTATGTAAACATAAAAATGAACATGCTATCTGAAACGGTTCATTTGTCGATTGGAGTGAGATGATTGTTTCTGCTTAAACGTCAAATTCGTCGATTTCGTTGGCGAAATGATTCACACGTTACGCTTGCTTTCACAAACTGCATTTCGAACATAAAAATAATAGAATTTCAAGAAAAAAACGAAGTTCGAATTAAAGAGAGAAATGGTTCGAATTATCGAATGAAAGTGGCGGTTCGAATTATCGTGAGTTCGAATTAGCGAAGTTCGAATTAACGGAAGTCGACTGTACATGAATCAAAAAAGATGACAGTCATCTTTTTCATTTTTTTCTTCAAAAACTATTATATTTTTGATTTCGAAAGGGTACATATTGTTTCTTGTGTATTTTTATAAATAGACTATATATTATATTGTATATTAAATTGTAGGACGGTATCATTGCATAAATATTGAAAGAGCAAAATTCCAAACGTGATATATTTAAGAAAAATGTGGTGCTATGTATGTGAATCTGGATAAAATTGCATGGTCCCGTGTTTCTTCAGGCTGCGGCGTGTGCTTTGTTTGAATGGCTTTCTTTGGCAGACTCGTATTTTCCGTGGGAACTTATCTATCAATGAAGAAAAAAATAATGCATTGAAAAATAAATCTATCATTCTATCAAAAATGATTTGAAATGTCTTCATACCTTTTGAAGATAGTCCGGTTGGCTTGCAATGAATTCATGGAATTGGATGCAGTCGAATGATAAATTGTTCTTGATGATCAAATAAGACTTCAATGTTCCGAACGATAAGCGGCTTTTCTTGTCGTTCCAATAATGCTTCATATGTGAAAAAATCCGCTCACAATCACAATTTGCGCCTGAAAAATATTAAACAAGACATAAATAATATCGGTTCAAAACATCCATCAACAAAAATTTTAAATAAAACTATTACCCGGCATCATTAGCGCGTATTCAACGAGTTTTGAGAAGACTTTATACGACGCTGATTTTTTTTTCAAATTAGAGAAAACTTCCAACCATCGATCCTCTATCGATGCATGTTTTTCATTCCAAATTTCAAAAATCGTCTTTCGATCTACCACAGGAACACTTTTCAAGTACGTTTTGACATTCACAAATTCATTGAACACAGTATTATACTCCTCTTGTTTTATTAATTTTTTGGCAAGAAGCATGTCTGCAGTGTTCTTCACAGGCGATTCAAGAGTGGACCAAAGGGGCATTTCCCTTAATTCAATCCAACTGTATGTGTCGACCAACGGTTTCAAATGCACTCCCCACGTTTCCAGATAAGTCACCGAGATGTCTGAAAATTTAAATCAAAATGTTATATTCTTATATAAATGCACTTGTGCATTTTTAAATAATTACTTTGGAATTTTCGGACAATTTCGTCAATATATTCTACATCAACAAAAACTTCCTCGTGAATGCTTCGTTTATTGGCCTTCTTCAAAATGGTGTCAGTGAATGGCAGCGAATCAATAATGGTCGTCAGTTCTTGTTGAAATTGCAATGACGTAAAGTTTTCGTCCATTCGTTCACGAATTGATGTACAAAACGAGAAAATTGTTCGGGCTGCTTCGTATCCTGATACGTGTGAGCCTTCGAGTGACCGGATCACAGCTTCAAAGTATTCGCATTGATCTCGTACAAATACTAATAGGAGTTTTGATAGGTGGTGGTCAAAAAATCGGCCCAGTGCAACGGGTGTTTCTTTCTCGGTATCAAAAAAGGTTTTAAGAGCATCAAAGTTTTTGATGATTCGATCAATACAACCATGGAATCCAATAAACCGAGTGTTAGCGTAACCAAGCAACTTCATGTATTCGTCGGCATTGATTAAATGTTGTAAACGCGCGTTCCGTGTGCAACTAGTCTTGAAATAGTTGTAAATATTCACAACAGTTGCCTCAATATCAAAAAAGGGTTGAAATTGGTCACACGCTTTCTCAATAGCTTTGTGCACCAAGTGGGCCGCACAACCTATACCAACTAATTCATTATTGAATTCCTTTTGGAGGCGACTGAACATGTTCTTATCACCTCCTCGAGTCAAACCTCCGAAATTTTCCTTTGCATTGTCGCCTGAAATCGCCTTTAATTTCGCACGAAGATCGTATTTTTCCCATACAAATTTCAGTTTTGTGAACAATGTCTCACCGGTTTCATCGTCTAATTGGAATGCATCAATCAGTTTGGTATGCGTTCCCGTTTCATGTGAAAAGTATCGAACCAAAACTGGCAAAACTTTGAAATTTCCTTTGCTACTTGAATCCAAGCAAAACGTAAGAAAATTTACATCACGAATTTCTTTCAACAACATATCTATTGCCATTGGTGCCAAAACGCCTGGAAATTCAGAAGGATTAAAAAACTGAATCCATTTTGAATAAAATTGTCTGAATATAGAGCGTACCAGTTGCAATTGCTTCAGCTTTGGTTTCACTACATCTGAAATCAGGGTTTTTACCAAATACTTCACGAATGAGTTGAGATGTGCACGTAGCTGATCGAAAAGAATGGCCTTCTTTGATGAGATGATAAACAAATGTAGCTTCAGCTGCTGCGGTTTTTTTATCCGATGTCGCTATAATGAATAAATTCCGAGATATAATAAGTGCATGATTAAGTAAAAAAATAACATATAACAAACAAATTTACTCTGGAATAAGCGATTGATTGCCACTGTTTTTGACGCGGCATTTTCATACATTTGATGTACATTCGTTCCCATGTGTTGCTTTACATCAGCGATTCCTTTGTTCACGATCGAAAAATCTCTTTTGCATAATTTGCAATATGCATTTTCTCGACCCAATTTGGATTCCGCCAACCAAGACTTGTATTGTGGTATCCACTCTTTATTAAAATAGCACTTGCCCATCTAAAATAGTTTTAAATATCTTGATGCAATATGCATAATACAATTCTGGTTGCAAATTTACTTACTTTGAAGCCAAAATGTACACTTCACTATTCACTGATTCTGAATTATATTATTTCTATTTGAAATCTTTGATATTTTTTGCAAAAAATTACGTGGTGATTGAATTATTTTAAATAATATTCACTAAATTGGAACAAAGAACAAAGAAATTGCTAGTCAGCAATCGAGTCAACATGTAAAATCGTGATAATGTTTACATTTTGAATGTTGAATTTCACCATTCGTTGTAACTCAACGAAACGTCAAATGTAATTTGACATCACGCACATGACAGCTGTATGTATTCAGTATTTGGTCATTGTACGAAATTCAAATCGTATTATGAACTTCAGCATTTGTCTTTAGATCACCGAACAATTATTAAATTTGAAAGTTTTTTGTAGTTTTAATTATTTATTTCAAAATTTTCGAAAAAGATGACAAAAGATGACTTCCTGTGAAAAAAAGATCATCTACGATCATCTAAATATATGAAAAAATGCCTCTCAAAAAGATGATAGTCATCTACGATAGATGCCATATGGGACCATTAGTTTTATGGTTAAATTCGTCGTCAAACGTCGACTCGTCGTTCTTATCATCACGCTCGTCATCATATGTCAAGTTTTCGTTCGATTCATTAAATTCGTTCAAGAGTAGTTCCGCTAATTGCTCGTTATTCATTTTATTAACTGAACTTTATATTAAAACTATAAATAAATAGACTTGGAAACTAAAATCGTTCGTAAAATGTTCATTAATCGTTCGAAATTAAATTTGGTTTCCTTGCAAAAATCATCGTTTACATTCTAGTACCTTACATACATAACATTCGTTTGCGTTATCATTTCCGAAGAGAAAGAACATTGCTTCATTGACAGCTTTTTTAGTTTAATATTACCAAAATTACTTGCGAATTAATTAAAACCCTCAAAGTAATTCATTATGTACCGACGTGTGACTTGTCCACGAGTGTAGTCGCCGAAAAAATGGACCATATATTTACCATTTGACATAAATTCCTCGATTACGCCAGGCCAAAAAGGATAGCCTTTTATGTGTGCCCAGACAAGTTCGTTTTTATGCAATGTTGGTGCCAAAGCATTTTGTGGAATTCTCGGTATTTTCGTTACACGTCGCTTTGTTTGCTTGGCTTCCGTTCGTTGCGTAATTTCAACAGTTGACGATTTCTCCAGTTTTTGTTTCGATGGAGATATTATATCCTTCAACGCTCGTTTTGATTGTGGTTTTACGTCGTCATTATCTTGTTATGTTTTCTCTCGGTATAAGTAAATTAACAACTCGGTTATGAAATTCTACTTTATTTGGCAAAATAAAAATAGTAACCCTAATTCCCTAGGCGACTTTTCGTTCCTTTTGTACCTCGGCTTTCTCGGTTTCTTCCCAATTCTAGTAGCTCAGAATTGTTTTCCTCTTCGATGCAATTCCAGTAGCTCGGAATTGATTTGCTTCTTCTCTTCTTGTTCTTCGTTACGTCTTCTCCACTCGGCCGTCCATACAAAAGAGAGCGATACATTCGGTTTGAGAAACCAGTTTGACGCTTTCCTTCAACTCGTCTAATGATGTTGCCGCACCAGGTGTCGCCATCTCTATGTCAAATCTAGCTATTTTTTACATTTTGTTCTCTTATATCTATTACAATTCTTGGTTTCATTTCATTTTCATTATTTTATTTTTCTCATTCGGTTTTTCCTTCTGAACCACAACAATCTGTTTCGTCTCGCTTTCGTTTTGTCGGTACACCTTCAATCGTACGCTCCTGTAGTGTGCGGCTTCCACTTTTAAACGATTCGAAGTACTTTTCCACCTCGTTCCGATACAATATAATTTAAAACGTTCGATTCTTTGATTCAGCCCGTACCGTTACTTCAGATGTATCGTTCGTGACCGTCTGCTTTCGATTAGTTCGGACACTCGGAACTTCTTAAAGTAAAATCGCATGATTTTCGATCGTGTATTGATATTTATTATTCTGATATTTATTGATTCTTACCATTCATATCACGTTGTGGACGATTCTTGGCTGTTTGGCTTCTGGTCCGCATTTTTTATTCCAAATTTTGGTTTAGTTGTTTTTTTTTCACTAATGTTTACGTTCGTGTTCAAAATGTGTTTCAATATATTTTTCCTTAGTCTGTTCTCATTTCCAATAATTAATTTGACATTTCTTCTCTGTTTGACAAATCTGCTATAATGAATGCATTCATTACGCAGTATGGCCAACTGCATGAAAATAAATTGTGCTGTACTGACAAAAAAAAAACTAGCAGAGATCGTCGATTTCATTCATCGTTCGAAACATTTTCATTAGCCGCACGTACATGGAAAAATTAAAATAATACTCAAATCCAGTTTATTTGAAACGTAGAATTGAAGAGAAATAAATATTTCATCCTATTTATAATAAAAATTCAATATACATATATTGAATGGCAACAGTACTATTTAATGCTGCCATCACATTTCATCGGTCGTTCAGAAAACATTTCGGGCGGCAAAGCGATATCTGTCAAACCGTATTGGATTTTCTTTCCATAGCAAAAGCATTAATATTTTTAGTTGAGATTTCATAGTGTTTTTCATAAAATTTAGCGTTTAACTTTCGATTCGATCTTGATTTTTACGAGCGACACGCATCCAACGAACGAATAAGTAAGTAATCGTCACGATCAAACATTGTATGCATTGCATTTTTTTACTTTTGGTCAACAACTGAGTAACTTTTTTTTCCTTCCTAGAAGGCACCGATTAGCGACCGTTTGATCAGCTGAAAAAAAACCAAAAGAGCCGTGTTCTCATTAAGCAACATAAACTGACCGAAAGAACCGATTTAAACGAGCGTTACGAACGAGTAAGTGAAATAATACGTCTTTATACATTGCAAACATCATCAAATTCATGTTTGCTTTCGCTCGTTACGCTTGTGTTCGTCCGTTGATTGCTTTCTGACGATTTTATGTTGTACGTTTTTTTACTTTTAGTCAGTTATGGATAATAATAATTGCTACAATTGTGGTGCTCCCGGCCACAAATCGGAAGTTTGCCCAGAAGATCAGAAGAAATCACGTTGTCTGACATGCGATAAAGTGAATGGTCACGCACCCGACTGTCAAAACACCGAGTTCGTCTCTAAATCTCGGTTCAACTCGGTTACGGTTTTTGCAATGCAAAACCACTTGAAAGTCGAATTCCAGATAGTGACGGGCGATTTCTACGTTCAAGATGTGAAGTCCAAGGTTGCGATTGGCCACGTTCCACTTTGGCTCTCAATGATTGACGCATTCGTTGGTAAAGTCAAAAAATCGCTCGAATTTGCTACATCGCGCACGATGAATCGACACGTTACATTCATCGATGTCAAAGGACAACCTGTTCTGTCGTTGGTTTTCTACGAAAAAATCCTGCGCATAAACGGTCGCACCACGTTGGATGAAAAGGGTTTGCTGTCGTACAATCGCAATTCAGTAAATGGAATTACTGAAAAAGTCGTCTGCCGAATTGGCATCCAAAACACAGAAGAAACATTCAAGGTGCGCATAAGCTGTTACGGGCATAAACATGTGTTTACGGTATACCCGAGAATCGGTCCAGTGTCAGTCGACCCGTTGCAGCCTATTGCGGTCAAGGGGCAATTCACTAAAAAGTTGTATTACTTTTTTCACGTTGTATTACTTTTTAAGCAGCGTTGTATTACTTTTGAGTGATTTACCCTTGATTGCGGTACAACAGCCACAACCATCAGCGAATGACGGTGTAATTGCTTTAAATTTGGTGTTCGATGCACCAGCTCCAAGCGACGAAGAAGGTGCCGTTGGTGGACAAAATCTTTCTGCAAGACTTTCACTGTTCACCTCAATTTGCCTGGTCTCGACCGTTCAGTCATCAACAATTCATTTTTGACGGACATCGCAGCCATTTTACGACGTGAGGCTGAAGGCCGTCGCGCTATCAAAAACGAACGTGATTAATCGAGATAAACGAGCGTTGCCAAACAGCAACTGATACCATGATTAAACTTCGAACGTTTCCGTAAAAATTTACTCTAAAATCTAGAACAGATTCAGATTTCAACAAAAGCAATGAAGCTTCCAAAGAATTTTTATATTACTTTCTTTCTTCTCTATTATATCACTAAATAATGATTATCATATCAATCCAATGAATGGATACAATCGAAAATATTTAGACGAACGCGAACATTAACCGAACGATTACCTTAGCTTCGAACGTTTCGATCGAAATTTACCAAAAAAATCTAAACAAATACTAGACAATGTGCAATGTTTATTTTTGCCGGACGTTTTTTTTTTTTTTCATTCAATACATTAAGTATATAAAATGTTACAAAACATGAAAAATTTCTATATTCTATAAATAAATAAACAGAAAAGCGGCAAATGTCTTTTTTTAAGTTTATATTGTGATTATTGCTTTATTTTATGTTTTTGATCATTTTCAGCTCGAACATTGTAATCAAAATAACCGTGACCTAGATATAATTTCCGGAAATGATACCTAATATTTCTGGAAATTAGTTCCGGAGATTATATTTAGACATAATTTCCACAGGTATAATTTCCGAATAGAATTTTCAGTAATTATTTTAGGGGTAGCCCGGAATTGTTTCCCCAGGTTTTAACCCGTAGCGCCAATCGTCTAAATACAAATTTTCTCGAAAAAATGACAAAATCATCTAAAAGACTCCAAAAACATCTATGGACAAAATGTTTATTCAAAGTGACAAATCCATCTAAAATGCTGAATAAATAATTCAACAAAATCATCTAAAATTTGCAAATTTTTTTACTAACGAAATCGTCTAAATACGAGTTTTCTGGAAAAAATGACAAAATCATCTAAAAGACTCCAAGAACAACTATATACAAAATGCTTATTCAAAGTGATCATCTAAAACACCTTCAAAAATCACAAATTCATATCATACTATTTTCATCCTGAAAAAATCGCCTGAAATATGCCTAAAACCACTATGAACAATAGTTCATTTGAAATATCTTCTTTATTAATAAAGAAATAAAGAAGAATATAAAATTATTTACATAAGTCGTTTGCAAATGAAAAGATATTCTCCGGATTGGAAAGCCATCTTCAGTTTTATCAAATTCACTGGGTATGGTTTTGATCATATTACTTTATGGAATCGTTTTTGGCATATTTCAGGCGATTTTTTTGGGATGAAAATATGTAGTATCATATGAATTTGTGATTTTTGAGAGTGTTTTAGACGATTTTATCATTTTTGTATTTCAACGATTTCTTTAGTAAACAATTTAGCAAATTTTAGATGATTTTGTTGAATTATTTTTTCAGCATTTTAGATAGATTTGTCACTTTAAATAAACATTTTGTTAATAGACGTTTTTGTCAATTTTGCCAGAAAACTCGTATTTAGACGATTTTGTTATTTTAAAACCCGATTTTATTAAGAAAAAAATTGTCACATTTTTAGATGAATTTGTCAAAAAAAGGGACGATTTCTTTTAGACAATTTTGTCATTTT